CTACAATCCAATGGTCCAATGATCCAATGACAAGGCTTTCACTTGATGATAGCATATTGTATTGAGTTGCTCGGAGGTCGGTAAAACGTTTGTAAAAGCAGTGAAAGCAAACACCACAGTGCATAGCACCATTTGAATCCATTACTAACATTGAACAAGCAGCATTGCCGCAAGGTCTACTTGAGCTTACGCTACAAGTACCGTTGTATCAGTTCGTGGACCTCCCCACTAGGTACATGGACGCCCAACTCCCGTCTATTTTGGATCTAGTGTTTGCCAAGTCACTAGACTTCGTAGGGGACATCACTTACAGCTCTCCCTTAGGTGTTAGTGATCATGCTTGTTTATCGTTCAGGTGTAGTCTGACCAGGCGCCACCAGAGCATTGCTAAGCCATTTCCAAACATATGGCGTGCTAACTATCAGGCAATGCGTACCAAGGCTGCTGGGATGCGTTGCGAAATCTCGGTGGTTGATACGGTTCAGGCGGCCTGGGATAAATTTAAATCTTATCTCACGGAGGTGTCTACGCCCTACGTCCCGCTTGCGAGGAGAAAGGAGACACGAGCGCGGCCGCCGTGGATAGATACCACTGGCAAGCACCTGCTCTAGAAGCGTTCTAGGTACCGGAGGGCCTACCGTGCGGCTCCATCAACTAGCACCTATGATAAATATCGCGAGGCCAGAAATAGGTGTAAACAAGATTTAAGGAAAGCTCGGTTGGTGTACGGAAGAGAATTGGCTGATGGAGCTTCGGAAATTCCGAAGAAGTTCATCGCTTAGGTTAAGAGACGCTGTGGTTCAACTTCGGTAATCCTAACTTTGATGAAGGCCGATGGAACTCGTGCGTATGCGGACTCAGATAAGGCTCGTGTACTTGGGGAACAGTATGCAGGGGCTTTTGCACGTGAGGCTGCGTTGACTAGCGTTGAACTTGTCCCCCGAATACCTGATGGTTCTTATTTAGCTGAGTTTACTGTGGTGGAAACGCAAGTCCTTAAACTGCTGCAAGAACTGAACCCTTCCAAAGCAGCTGGACCTGATTCAATTCACCCGAAGCTTCTGCATGAGTTGGCGGGGAACTAAGTGGACCGCTGACGATGGTGTTTTAGAAATCACTTGACACCTGTACATTACCTTCCGAATGGAAGGAGGCTGTCATCTGTCCTATCTTCAAAAATGGCGACAGGAGTCTGTCAGCCGATTATAGGCCAGTTAGTCTGACTCGCGTTGTGGTCAAACTGCTTGAAAGCTGGTGAGAGATTCGTTGGAATGTCAACTGAATAGATTTAATCTGCTCAGTAGTGCACAACATGGATTCCGGAAGGGATTTTCGTGTTTGACGAATTTGTTGGTTGCTCGTGAAGCTTGGGCCGAGGCAGTGGACAATGGTCACGTGGTGGATGTGCCTTTCGTAGACTTCTCGAAAGCATTTGATAAGGTACCTCACTTGAGGCTATCACATAAGCTGAGGTCCTACGGCGTATCTGGCCGCGCCCTTCACTGGGTATCTGCGTTCTTGCAGGGAAGAGAGCCGTGTGTACGTGTGAGTCGCAGTTTATCCCTTAAGCAAGCGGTCCTTTGCGGTGTCCCACAGGGCTCGGTCCTTGGCCTGATGCTGTTCTCCATCGGCTGGCTAGGCTGGCTAGCCGAACAACCTCCTCGTGGTGCCAGCTGGGTGGTTCGGGTTTGACCCGTTCCAGCAAATAGTTCGGCGGCAGTGTTCCAGGACGTAGTGGGTTTTCGCCTGGCAAGCGTTCTCCCTATAAAAAGCCACAAATGTCTGCTTAACAACACTGTGACGTGGCGGTCGTGACTCGCCACAAAATAAAGTCACTGCCCCGTAGGTATCCGAATAATCCTTTCCAACGCACGGACATCCATCTTCTACTCGAGCATTTCCGACGATATGAGAGTGAAAATTAGAGCAGCACAGTTACAAACAGGAACCTCACAGTTACACACACACAGCTACATAATTACATACCCCCTACATAAACATACACTGGTACGGCAAACATAACGTATTCTTGCACATTCTTGACCGCGCATTGTTGTCATAATGAGCATGCCTGTAAAGGCGTGCCTCGCCTTGTCGAGAATAAAAACTTTATTTATTTATTTATTTATTTAAACGATCTCCCTGCAGAGCTTGGGGTATCATCCCTATTGTTTGCTGATGAAATTAAGCTATGGAATGTTGTAAATGTTCCGGGGGTTGTGAGGCCATACAGCATGCACTGGACAGACTCTGGGACTGGTCTACTTGTAAAGCCCAAAAAGATAACTTATCTTTCGTGTACAATTTACTTGTTGACCGATTGTACATTACTCCTACTTGTTTTAATCTTACAACCGGCTCGACACACAACTGCCTTGTAAGTCCCCGCGCTCACGTGTACGCTCTTCCCTCGCTTCATCCGTCCGTTTCTTGTTCTAGCCCATCGAATACAGTCCGCTGTTTTTGATTCCTATTACCTTCTGATATCCGCGCTTAATTGCGCGCATCGTCTCGGACTAGTATTAACTAGTCCTACATACCTTGTAGCTACTGCCCATAAATCAGGATAAGTGTTCCGTCCTTCGTATAGGAGCAACTTTCCCGCCTTCGAGCTATCTACTCGGTGGGGTCGAACTCCCCGTTGTCTCCAACCAGGTATACCTAGGTGTCGCTCATTCAGCGTCTTTGCATTCTGGTGACAACTGGAAGAAGGCAGCTAGTAGGGGTTTCAGAATGTTTTGGTTAATACACCGTTCTTTCGGGGTCTTAACTGCCGACATATTTGTGAAGCTGTTCTCAGCTTTCGTCCGGCACCATCTGGAATACTGCGTCCAGGCTTGCCCGCCCTGCCTTGTTCGGGACAAAATGGAGCTTGAGTGGGTCTTGAGAGTAGGTACCAAATTGGTCGAGAGGTTACGGGGGCAATCGTACCCCGAGCGTCTACTTAGCTTGGGTATGTATTCAATGCACTACCGACGGCTTCGAGGAGACCTAATCCTTACTTACCGCATTTTAACGGGGAAGGTTGGACCGGAGTTGAGTTGGCTATTTACCCCGGATAGGTTGCCTTGTCTTTGCGGTCAACCCATGAAGCTACACAAGCCGCGTTCTGACCGGATCAGGGCGAAAACTCGGTTATCGCGTAGAGTTATCGAGCGCTGGAACTCGCTTCCAGAAGATGTAGTCAGTGAACCTACGGTTAAGCGTTTCGAGCGTCAGTTAGACGCTCTTGGGTGGCAACACGAAACCTTTCCCTTCTCCTGACCATATCCACCTTCAAACTTTTAGTTCTTATTCTGTCATTATCTTCACTCTTTGGTGTTATCCTTCATTTTAATGACTTTCATTCCCCTTTATCTTCCATTTACTTTCTACTTCTTTCTTACTTCACGTAACCTACACAACGCAGACTGCTAGTGCAGGGAACGTGGGCAGTAATTGGTTGATCAGGGTGTGTTTCAGGTGTTTCGGTTTAGATCTATAAACAACTAGCACCTTATCATTTCCTGGCCCAACGATTTGCTCAAGAAGGAACACTCAAGGGATTTTCCTATCGTTCCAGTCCATCTGAATCTGAATCTGAAGTTGCAATTAACTCATCAAACGAGAATGCAAGGGTGTTCAGGCGCCTTGGTTGTTAGCGAGACTACCAAGTTTAATTGAAAAACGGGGCATAGTTTGAAAACACATACAACCATAAAAGGACCACGATATAAAGGTACACGGGATGTAAAGCAGAATTAATAAAGCGAACAACCCGAAAAATGCCTGGAAGCGTCAGGGAGATGATATGTCAAGTGCTACTTTAATCGATCCAAGCTACCTTGGAACAAAGGAGACCTTACAATAGTCATATTTCGCTTCACGCGTTTATTCAAATACCGTTTTCCACAATATGTCAGTTAAAATGCTCCTTCAGTTTGGCACGCAAAGAAGTCGATTTACTGCGTAGTACTCACGTAAGGAAATTTTATCCGTTGACGTATCGTGAGACGGTCGCTTCCGCCAGTGTCTACTGTTAGTTGTTACCATTTTCCTAACTTGCGGCGTAAAACGCACATCCATGTTTACTCCCTGATACTTGCCGTAACTTTAAGCCGTCAAGTGGAACGGTCAATGGAATATGAATCGACAGCCATCGAACTCAGATCACCGGGATTACATGAAATTACAGTATGGTCGAAAGATTGCGCAGGACACATGCATGCTCGCGAGTATGAAAACACCAGACTGGTCCCAAGCTCCTCCCGGTTTTATTGGTAGGAACGCCACTGTTCCATGCACAGTGACTACGAATTCTAGCGGATCTGCCTTGAAAATGTACCCTTATTCAGGTGAGAACGTTCTCCCGCCTACTACTGCCTTTTTCTGCATGTATCTACCCATACATAATGCTGTGAATTGTGTGTGCTTATTATCTACTCTGTTTTTATCTATATTTCTAATGTTGAGTTATTTTACCGACTTTTTTTAGGTTGCTGGTGAGCGTCATCGTAATCGGTATTTATAAAGGTGGAAGCTAATCCCACAAAATATCATGATACTTTAGTCTGTAGTTAAGAATTTGTCACAGACAAGGTTAGGTCTTCGATAAGAAACGCCAGGAATCTAGATACAGACTACTTTAGAACCCCAACATCGAGACGGTGGGTTATCTTGTTCACTTAGTTCATTGGTGTATAGAGAGCAGAAGGGGAAACCTTTGTCAACTCCGTCGATCCCGATTCAGTGCAGATTTGACGCAACTGGCTACGAAGCGGCATTCCTCCAGGGTTCGTCGCCGTTGTATTAGGAGCAGCAAAACCCTACCGTACTCGTTAGATGGCAGTCAAGCAGCCGTTTGAAACTCCTTTGTCGGTGCATCAGCAATGGTCTTTGATAAGCTGTTCCAATCATTTATTTAAAAATGCTGTAGTTTATTAGGGCGTGACCTCTTGTTAAAGCCGTGGTATTTCGCTCCTATCAATTTGAGGGCAATTAAGTGCTTACAAATTCCGCCCTTAGTAAGCCTCTATCCACCTCTTTCAAATTCACGTGGAACTGGAACGGTGGAAGAATCCCGTTAGTATCCTTTCTTTAGCGGAATGCTGAGTCAGCATTTGATGATGTTCACTGAAGCCTTCATGGATCCTAAAGAATACATAGGAATCGTACACTAGTCACCCAATTACTGTTCCCTGCACCAACACTCCTTACTGTTCAGGTTCAGTTGGGACCGGAACGATAGTTCATTAGAATAGTAGAAATCAGAAGGAGATCCCGTGTCAGCTCCGTCACTTCCCCTTCAAAGCAGGGATATCGCGGATCCTTGCGAAACGTCATTCTACTGGGGACCATCACGATCGCAGCGCAAACAACACGATCCTACAGCAGATAGGGGTCCAACAGACATTTAAAACTCATCACACTACGCTGACGACTTGCTCAGGCAAATTGTTCCAGTCCATCACCACACGGGTGGACAAGGTCACATCGGAATGGAGTCGGAGCCTTCTCGGCCTAAACAGTTTCCAGAAGTGACCCAGTGTCGAACTGTCAACTTTGTTTAAAGAACTTCGGTTCATTTCCCATCATTCCTCGCAGTATGCGTCTGGTGTAAATCGGATCACCACGACGACGATAATGCAAGGTAAACTTGTTCGTAGTTCAAAGTCCTTGGGTATAGGAAATGAAATGAAATGAAAAAAATGTGTCAGCTTATACGCCGTAACGGCGCTTCGCTGCCGCGCGACCACCACCAGTCGCGCGCGGGCTGAGTATACCGCGAGGACGCCCACCCCTACGCGGATTCGAACCGGTGACCTTATGGTTGCAAAGCAAACGTGCAGACCACTCGGCCACCGGCCGACAAATTCCGAATCGCTGAGATCGATTTCCATCCTTGTCGTTAGACCCTCTATGAGAACACGTTCTGACTTTTTAAGGGGGTAAACCGCAGGTGAATCGTATTCGGGAATGGGGCGCAAACGAGAAGTAAACAAAGTCTGAAGACCTTAGGAGTCACGCGGGTAAACGATCTTCTTATGGCACAGAACATCCTATTAGCAGCCCCTACCCTCCGCATGGGGGCCTTGGTTGTGCGCAACTCAGGAGACACAAGTATACCAAGCTCCTCACAAGCAGAGTTCCTGAGCAAGAAACCACCAAGGTGATAAACTCCAAAGGGGTAGGCATCACCGATAGGGAGGACAGAGCACTTATCATAATTGTTGGGCAACTGCCACTCCGATACCCAGCTGTACAGCCGGTCTGGTGTCGCTTGCAGTCGGTCACTATCCTCGAATTCGAATATCACTAGCCATAGCTTTAAGTCGTCAGCATATAGCAAGCAATCCGTCCGGACCTCTGATGGAAGGTCGTTGATGAATAATTTTATACAACTCCAGACGTAGGACCGAGCCTTGCGGAACTCCACTTCTCATCGAAACTGGCTCGGAGTAAGTTTCATTTACCTATACTCGCATACTACGGCCCCTCAAAATATCGGCGATCCAAGAATCTCCCTAGAAACAGCAATTCTTCAAAGTTTAGGGAGAAGCCGTTCCTGTGGGACTTTATAAAATGCTTTTCTGAAGTCGACAAAGACGACGTCCAGGCGATTACCGGCATCCATCGATTTAGCCCCTTTTTTCTCTAGCCTCAAGCTGGTTACAGGCACACGAACGTGCACTCTCGTGAATATTCCTTTGTAGCGGTTGTGATTACACTATATCTTTGTTTTTATCACTTCCCTTACCGACCATTTTGTACCATTTGTTTAAATTCACGAATTTCGAGTAGAACTTCCACGTGCTCGCGTCATGCTGGTTTCGTTTGCTGCTGCCTATGCTTGTGCCGCCGCCACCTCTTTCTAGTAGTCGGATTTATATCTTCGAATAGCTAGTCTTCATCTAACAGACGATTATTGAAGGAAGGATTATAACGCAAGTGTACTTGGTCGTTTCCCTACTGTGACATTTTGCCTAAGATTGTTTTGTGCCTCCGGACTTGAACGTTTTAGTTAACGGTCCACTACACCTGCGTATCGTTGAACCGGAAATTGATAGCTCGACCTAAGATTTTGATAAGCCTAAGACAAAAACCACATCACACTGGCCAACCAATTACTGCCCACATTTCCTGCCCAGCAATTCCTGCCAGGCCGGTTTATATGAAGTAATCATGGGTGAATGGTAAGCTAAGAAAACTAGGGAAGGAATGTCAACTAACTTATGTTAATACCAGGATATGAGAAAAACTGACAAAAGAACAGTAAGCTGTAACTACATGTTGGTTAGGAGACAAGCACGGTTTAGTGCTACCACCCATGAGCATCTGACTGACGCTCAAAACGTTAACCATAAATTCCCTAACGACGTACTCTGGAATCGAGTTCAAACGTTTAATAACGGCGCAATAGACAACTATCCGTCCTAACTCAGTCAGAACGCAGTTTTTGCGGATTCAACTGGTGACTCGGCGACTAGTCAGCTTAGCGCGACTAATTATCCAGGACAAGTCTGAGCCGATCTTACCTGTTATGATACGGTAAGTGAGGATCAAGTCCCCTCTAATTCTCCGGTAGTGCATTGAGTACATCCGCAACCTAAGCAAACATTCGGGATACGTTCGCCTCCGTAAACCCTGCACTAACCTTGTGCTAACTCGCAGAACATCTCCAATGCCTGTTTGTCTCTTACATTACATGGTGAACAAGCCTGGATACAGTATTCTAAGTGGAGTCGCACAAAAACCCAGAAAAGCTTTACAAACATATCAGCCGAGGGAGCGGCGAATAAACCACATCACACAAAACCCTTTACAAACAGTCTTCATCAATTTTCCCCCAACATGTAGGACTGATGTGTGGACGACACATAGCTCAGCCTGCTGAGTGACAGCAGGGATTTCACTTCCACCAACAACGTGGCGCGGGGGCGGACTAGCAGCTCCAATGCGGAGGACCGAACTGCGCCATTTACGTGAAACAAGCAAGTGGTAGGAAGAGGAATCCAAGCTTAGATTTTGGAAAGATATGCAATATTTGTAATACCACTGCTTGCGGGGAATTATAGAAGAGAAAATGGGAATATGAAGACAGGACTTGGTCAGAGGGGAAAGGTTACCATGCATACACTACCTGATAGTATGTGTATGTATTCTCAGCAGTCTATTATCTAGACACAGAGCCAGCCTAAAACCATGGAGATAAGGAGACAAGCAAGATTCATGGCGTCATAACCATCGTGGCGTGCTAGTTGAAGGTGAGAAACACACTTCAACTAATATGCCGCAGGAAGAATGGAACATTTGACAAAAAGTAGAACAAAACATTTTTAGTTTGTTTTTCACACGCCGACCTGATAGTACCCTATCCACGTTATACAATTAACTTTTCGAACAATTTCGTGATTCTTTGGCCGTCTCAGAGAATAATCAACGGCTCCCTATCTGCAGCGGGTTGGATAGAGGAGAGCATACTACTGCTCAGGCACTCTCGTCTTCTTACTCCTTCTCTTGCACCTTCCAATTCTTATCGTCCCGTCCTAAATTCCCTTTTATCCATTTCCTTTTCTGCACTCAATTCCTGGCCCTCACTCACCTTACTTTAATAGTCGATTGTTTTCTAGTTTCAACTCACACGCAATCGCAAGGTGTCGCTCCGGTCCATTCGACAAATCCACACCAAACCAAGCGGAGGGTCTCACTTCATCTGCTTATATCCAAAGCTCTATTCAAGATAAGACTGGCATGCCTCAAGTGCATCATCATTAACAGCAGTACATCAGCCATTTGAATTGATGCTTCGCTGTCATACAACAATAACGACCTACGGAACGAAAAATATTAAGAAGAAGAGTAGGGGGACCTAGAACAAAATCTTTATGCCCTAAGCACACATTCAGCATCAAGGCACACACCTCGTCACCATTACGTAGAACTATCGTGCACAAATAAGGTGGCATCGGCGAGATAGCTTCTTTGCGGTTTTCACTGCCTTACATCAAAATCAGCCATTATCCTGCAGATAACTCAGCATCAAACACACTACAAACAGACAATCCGATTAGGAAACGGCAGCAGACGCGCCTTTGGTGTCGGTTGCCAGCCATGTCCTGTAAAGTCTCACGACTATCATTAGGCGGGTCCCGTTGACTCCAGCCTAGAAGGCGAGACGGACCAACGGCACCCAGTTTGGTCGTCAGTAACTTCATTTCCTGCCGTCCACCAAGAGCCTTGCGCCACCCTACATATGGCAGACAAAATAAGGCCCCTCTCGGTAAGCGGTGACCGAGCATACATATTACCTGCCCGAGCCATCGCAACTTATTTAGTGCTATCAGTTGTTCTAAGGGATTACCTTGAGTATCACTGCCTAGTACTCGCCTACGCACATCATCGTTGCGGATGCGTTGGTGCCACCTGGCGCCAACAATGCTGCGCAGACAGCGGTGACTAAAGACTTGAAGGCGCCTCAGATCTTCAGACCGAAGGGGCGAAGTCTCACTCCCTTGGCGTAGGACAGCTCTCACTGTGGCCTTGTATACATGGTCTTTCAGACGTAGGGAAACTCCCTTCTGTCGCCAAAGGTATCGCAGGTTCAAAAAGACAGCTCTCTCTTTTGCAGTACTTGAACTGACTTCAGTTTCTACGTGCCCATTGTTGCTGATGCAGCTGCCTAGGTAAGTGAATTGCTCAACTGTCTCTCGATCCTGGTTATCAAGAGTCAAGGGATCGTCAAGTCGCTCGCGGTCCTGCAGCAACACTTTACACTTTGAAAGTGCGAAGCGCATATCAGATAATGGAACCATCCTACACAGGTTATTCAAGATTGATTGGCTCGCCCCAACATCTTCGAAAAGCAAGAAAATATCGTCTGTGTAATCAAGGTAAACCAGCCTGTCACTAGGCAGCATCCTTGTGTCTACATCGTGAGTAGCTGCAAGGTAACACTCCATAATGCAGTTCACAACCATATTGAACAAAAACGAGGAAATCGGACAACGCTGACTAACGCCAATTGTGGTCGGAAAGCTATCCGACAGATCACTGTAGACCCTGACACAGCCCGCACTATTCGAGTACAGAGCACGTATAATGTTCACATATTTCATGGGAACACATTCCGCGCAAGGATTCTGAACAGAATCGATCGATTGATTGAATCCAACGCACTCATGAAATCAAGGAACACAGCTATTGTCGGTCTGCGGTATGCGTGGCGCTGCTCAAGCACCTACCGCAGAGTGAATATATGGTTGACACAGCTACTTCCTGGGTGGAAACCTGCCTACTCTTCCCTAACGCGGTATTCCCGTCCGCAGTGGGGCGACGAACAGGAACTGAGGTCAGTGATTCTGTCACAATCATGCTAGCTCCCTAGAACAACAGATAGCACTGAATAAGTTGCGTTGGCTCGGGCACGTGCTACGCATGCCTGGTCACCGCTTACCTAGGAGGGCCTTGTTCAGTCTACCAGGTGTCGGATGGCACAAGGCTCGAGGTGGACAGAAGTTGACTTGGCAGCGGGAAATGAAGTCACTGACGACCAAACTGGGTGCCGTTGGTCCGTCTCGCCTTCCGGGTTGGAGTCCACGTGACTCACCTTGTGCTTGGCTCGAGACTTTACAGGACATGGCTCGCAACCGACACCAGTGGCGCGTCTGCTGCCGTCTCCTAATTGGATTGTCTGTTTAAAGTGTGTTTGGTGCTGAGTTATCTGCGGGGTTAATGGCTGATTATGACGCGTGGCAGTGAAAGCCGCAAGGAAGCTGTCTCGCCGATGCCGCCTTATCTTTGCACGATAGCCAGCTGTTTGTGACGGTATGTTGTTAACACAAGGTGTAGGCGCCTTGACCCTGAATGTTTGCTTAGGGCATTAAGATTTTCAGGTAAGTCCCCCTTATCTCCCTCTTATTCTTTATTTCATAGGTCCTCATGGTTGTATGGCAGCGAAGCATCAGTTCGAATGGCTGATGTACTGCTGTTGATGATGATGATGATGATGATGATTCTGTCACAACTGGCGTCAGGCTAATACACCTGTGGTTAGCACGGTCTGTGCGACTGCCCTTCTTGTATATTGCCACTATGATCGATTCACTCCAGTTAGTCGGGACTGTTTCCTCCCATGCATGTTCGAATAGGGAGGTCAGTGCTTTGCAGAGGACCTCACCTCCATCCTTAAATAGTGCAGGTGGCAGAGAATCTGGGCTAGTTGCACGAAAACGATTGTGAGCAGTGATCACATTTCAGGCCTCAGCCTCCGCTGGAACTTCTAAACTAACTGTCCATGCCAGCTGAACTTATCTTGAAAGTGTTTTCCCGAATGAGCTATACGGTGCTCCTTATATTGAATCAGACCACTCGTGCTATCTCTGATTGTCTTGCCGACTCCTGGTTTTCTGGGACCAGTGGCGCGGATCAGCTGGAAGCGTTTGGGATTGTTCCCTACTGCTCCCGCATCTTCCTCGCAATGTGGTTGGACCTTATCGTGTTGCGATGGTTTGTGTGCCTCAGCGATCCGTTGAGCAACGCTGGGTGGTGCTTTTTTGTGCCTCCAGAGCCACAAATACCAGATTGGTCAATGGATAGAGGCTAGACAAACTCAGTCTCCTGGTTCTCCAGGTTGGGGGTTGGAAGGAGGTGGCTCCTTATTCCTTAAAACGGACTCCTTGTAGCCCAACTCCAAACCCGCTGCCTTGCGGTCAGGTTTTTGAACCAAAGACTTTGGTTGAGGACCCTAATCGTTCTCCTGTCTAAGCCGGGGCAACCTGACAGTATCCTGGCCACGCAATACAATGAATTTCTCTTCAAACAGTTTCTTGATGCTCTGGTCACCACGGAGGATAATCAGCGGTGCCCTATCTGCTGCATCGAGCAGGATGGATGGGGGTTTGAATGCTACTGGCTAAACTTAACTATTGCTAACTACTCAGGCTAACTCTGCTACTACTACTGCTCTCAACCTTTTTCCATCGATTTTATTTATATTCACCGTCTTTTACCCTCCTTTTTTCTCTCTTCCCTGTCCGTTCCCCCGATTCCAACTTTTATATATTTCAAAAATATCCCCTCTGTTTTTCCTTCACCAATTTCATCAACAATTCAACCCAATTCTGTTTTTTCAAACCACCTAAGATGGGGATTGAGGGAGTCCTTTTTTGAAATTCCTCTCTGGGCATTCCTTTCCTTTCCTGGTTCCTATTCCTATCCCTTTTCCTTCCGGGGGTCCGAGGGGGCACCCCATAATAATTTTCCTGGTCCCTCTTTCCGGGTCTGAGGGGGTTCCTGGGAGGCCCTGTATGTCGCTCTCCTCGTGGGGGCATTTCCTTCCTTTAATGCCCTCCTCGTGGTGTTGCCGTTGTTGCCCTTCTGGCCCCTGGTGCCTGTGTGTCCTGTGGGTTTCCTTTCCATGCCTTCCTCCTCTTGGCCCTCTCCCTCCCGCCCCCCCACATTCGCTTGGCTAGAGGCTTTTAATTTTAATTTAATATTGACCTTCTTTTACCTTTTACATCCACAAGCATCACCCCCCCCCTGACACCGCCACCCCCCCGAGCTACTTCTCCTTTTAGTGTATACCTTTCTAGTTTCAGCCACAAACTCAGAAACTCACATGTGAAAACGAACCGGCGGCGAGCACATTATTCAATTCCTGTTCTGGGGGAGTCTGGGGGGTCGACATTTCCCCTGTCCACAACCAAAAGCGCAAGCGGGGCGGAGCGGGCCAAGCCCAGTTGATCGACTTCCATTTGGAGCCCTCGATCATCCTTCAGATTGGCATGCCTCAATGTACGCACATTGCTACAGATCGCTCAACTGGCATCACTTGCCCGAACATTAGAAACCGTCTCGATCGATATCTGCTACTTATCGGAGACCCGCCCGCAAGACTCGAGTTCTGTGCTCATTTTGCGATCCCCTTCAGGTGACACGGGCAGCACTTTCTCATTGCGCCTATCCGGTGACGATGCAGCTTCGAGCACCAGCCAAGCCGGTGTTGGTATTGCCCTGAGTCCTCGGGCTGAAGCTGCTCTGGTTGATTGGATTCCAATCAGTAGCCGGATGTGTGCAGTCCGATTGGCTGGCTCGTTCAAAGCTTCGAAGTCGCGTGGGACCAACAGGTGTTTTTTCGTTATCGCACGCCCATCGCCGTCATTCGAATATCCGCGCCCCGAAATATTATCCGCATCTGCGCCTTTCCCGCGCCGCCTATAGCAATCGACAAAAACTGTATAGTACTGTAAAGCGGTGACAGTTTCGGTGGGGTATACAAGGTGTTGCCGTAGCGCTGCCTTCCTCCTAAAGCAACAACTGAATGGAGCTCCTATAGAGAAGCAGAAACCTACAGAAGAAGCTAAAAGCTCGGATCTCGTGGGGGGCCGGGGGGTCGGGACACTAGTTGCTGGCTGGGGATCGAAACGCTCACGTTAGAAAATTATAATCCATGATCGAGGGGAGGGGCCGCATCTCTGGGCGGGCGCCAACATGGTATACATAGCGCCTAAAGAGGCTTTTTTTTTTGCTAAAAAAAAAAAGGCTTGGCTCTTATAGCGCCTTTTTCCTTTTTTTTCTTCTTTTTTCCCGTAAATGATAAACGGTGAGCGGGTTACAACTTATATTTGGTGTGAAGAAATAGCGAATTTGCTCGCTTCTTTCTTTTGAGTATTTTACTCTTGCTGAAGAGCGCTGACTCATTTCAGCTGCACTATACACAGATTCCGTGACCATCTGGAGGGCCGGACTGGCGGATGTGGCTGTGCACTAGTGCCCGGAGGTGTTTGGGTGGGTAGCCTAGCCCACCCTGCAGCAACGCTACCGTGCGGACCAGCCCCAACCACGCGTACAAAGCAGCGAGACCACGAACCCAGCAGCGGCAGCAGGTATTGACACAGGGCCCGAGTAGACGCACCTGCCGGGATCGGCTCCACATGCGCACCTGCAACAACACACAACAGAGCGAGGGGAACTAGCAAGCTGCCCACCATAAATAAACCGCAACGCGAAACCAAAAGGCACACTAAGACGGACAAAGCCGGAAGAACTTTCAGACAACCCACGATAAGACAATACGCACGCAGCAGACGACGGCCGGGCCGAAAGGTTGGGACCTTTTTGTGTTGCGCGCCGGGCCCCCAGACTACACTAGACGGGGGGGGGGGGGGCCGTTGGGGGGACGAAGCACCGGTACGTGGGGGGGGGGGGGCGCGTGGGGGTTTGGCCTTCTTTGGCCGCAAAATCGAATCAGCTGGGGGGGGCAGGTGGCGGGGGGAACACCATTGGCCTAAAATACGTTACCGATGGAGAAGGGAGTGGGCTGAGGGTTGTCGGTGGGCGTGCGTCCAGAGAACAAATGTCCGTTTGAATTTGGAGCACATTCAATCGTTTGTGGAACCCGAAAACCAGAATCCCGCACAAAGCAGAAAGAAACACCGCCCAACACCCCCGACCCGCCAACAACAATCCCCCCCCTAGCACCTTCGTATGTGTGCTGTGGGGCCCCTGGGTCTGGCCTGACCGAACCTGCACGAACTTGGGCCCCTGCTGGCTGCGGGATTGCACTTTTGGTTGGCGGCGGGGTGTGGCACTGTGGTTTGGGCGGGGGGTGGGTGTGCACTTTGGCGGCCGCCCACGGATGAGTGAACGTTTTGTCTGAGCCAAATTACAAAAATAAATAGCAATTAACCTACCAGGGGCCAACTATAACTAATATCGAAACATCAGAGCCTGTTCTGAATAATCTATACTAAGTACGGGCTGTTATGCGACTTTTTAAAAATAAGTCGCATCTCCACTCGCTCACAAAAAACTGGATGCAAACGTGAGTAAGCTCCACCTGGGAGGAAGGTCCTCTCATATTCAACCGAGTTTCAACCATCCCCCCCCCCGCATCCAATTCCCCCCTTAATTTCCATAGTCCCCCCGACTCAGTCCTTACTGTGGGAGGGCATGCTTAGGGGTCGAGCGGAGGGGCGGGAGAGGGCGTAGGGCTTATCTTCCCATTGTGGTGGTGTGTGTTGTGTCCTAATTTTCCACATGGATATTAGGTCTCGCTTGCTCCACCCTCGTCCCTCCCTCCCCTCCGTCCTCAGCCGCCCCTCCCACTCGCATGAGTCCCCTCTCCACCCCCTCTGGAAAGTTAGGATTTATATTGCGACCCAAATATCGCGACGCGCTTGGCGCCGGGGGGAGCGCTTGGGTGGGTTGTGTGCTGGAGCCGGGGGGGGTGGGGGGGGGGGGACGGGCACGGCGCCGCGCTCGGCATCCGTCAGGGATATAGAGTGTACTGGTAATGTTCCGGTGTTTTTGCCCCCCGAGTTATTATTTTTATTTTCTTTTCATGGTTGGTAAAAATCCCGCTGGAGCGAAAATAACCCATGGGAACAATTGGGATAGGAACTCTCTCCAGTGTGTTGTCTGGTGTGTGTTCTGGTGTTGGTGGTGTGGGTGGTGGGTGTGTTTGTGGGGTGTGTGGTTGGTCGGTTGGGTAGTTTGGTGGGTGGGGGGACCTCACTCATAACCGTTGTCGCCCCACGCGCGCCTCCAGGGGCATAACCCCCTACTCTACCTAACTATGCCGCCACCTTCCCGCCGTCTCACAACGCCGGGTGCGCGTTATCTGCGGCCACTGCTGACAAGCACAGCGTCCTCACTATTACTGATGTGGTCGCTGTGTTTCCCTAGCCACCCCCCCCGCGACACACTCCACGCCTCTAATGGCGGGTCCTCATCGTTGTGTCCGGTCGGGTGAAAAAATCTTTCAGAGATTGGACATGGGGAGATGGGGGGGCCGCTCGGGGGGTGGTCGTTGGTTTGTGGTCGTGTGTCCCCCCTGGGTAACCGGGAACGCATGTCGTGGGTTGGGTGCGGGTTGTGGTGGGGGGGGGGCTCCCCTGTGTGAATGCGCCTGATGTGAATGTTGACAAGGTGCCTACCTGTCTATTACCCACCACCACGTCCATACTGGCTCCAGGAGACAGTTGGTCGTCGCTGGAGGGGACGAAGTGCACCGTCCTCGTGACGGTGCTAGGCTCAAAGAGTGGTTCCATGCAATCTGTGTGGAACGGGCTATGGTCCAGCCACCGCCTCGTGTACGTCTGGTGTGTATGATTTCCCAATTATGCCGGAATGCTTCCGTTCTGTTTGTTGAAGGAGTGTGGGCCGACTCCGTTGATGAAACGTGGCTCCCATCCGCATGCCTCCCGGTCTTATTCCTTCGGGTTTACACCGGATATGGGGTGTGTGGGTGGAACTATGGGTGGTGCAGCGCAAGCCACCCATGGTCCCCTTTGTAGGCGCAGGCGTCCTGTGACTGTCCCCATGGACGTCACAGTGACAGGCAAATCCGGATAAGGACGCCACCAAATCATATATATATATATATATATATATATGCCCCTTGCTGAGTCTGATGTTGCATTCATGATGCTTCTTCACCGCAGTTGGGCTAAACCAACTTGTACTTATACTAGGTCTTTTTAATGTTGATAAAATTCGTTATTTGTTATTTGGTTTGATCTGCGTACTTGGTAATCTTCTCCTTACTTGCACACGTCTCTCGCGCAACTTGTTTTAAAGTTGCGTAATTGTATCGTGTGGTATATTTTAAATAACTTTCGGGCATTTTGTGCTTATCACGGATTGACTTATAACCAATTTCTTCTATATGCTCATTTAGCGAGTATTTACGTCGTCATATGCGTTTACTTTAACCGAAATCGGCATTTCGAATGATTGGCTGTTGTTTGATATCCCATGTGTGACAGCGCTTGTGGTGAATGTTGTCAAGGTGCCTACCTGTCTTTTACCCACCACCTCGTCCATACTGGCTCCAGGAGACAGTTGGTCGTTGCTGGAGGGGACGGGGTGCACGGTCCTTGTGGTCGTGCTAGGCTCGAAGAGTGGTTCCATACAGTCAGTGTGGAGCGGATTACGGTCCAGCCACCGCCTTGTGTTCACTTGATTCCCTAAATACAGCGTGCTTGTGTTTGTCTGTGAAGGAGTGTGGGCCGGCTCCGTTGATGTAACGTGGTTCCCATCCGCATGACTCCCGATCTTATTCCTTCTGGTTTACAATGGATATTTGGTGTGTGGTTGGTGCTGTGAGTGGTGCAGCGCACGCCATTCATGGTCCCTCTGTAGGCGCAGTCGTCCTGTGGCTTGCCACAGTGACAGGCAAATCCGAATCCGGATGCCGCCTACTATGTATGTACATATAAATATATGTATGTATAAATGTCTAGTGGGTCATGAGTTAGGCCCTTTGGGCCACTACAGAAGCGAGGACAGGTCCTGCAGAGAATGAGGGCGAGCCGGCGCAGCGTTTTTAGGCACGCTGAATTCGATTTACTAACAGCGTGCTTGCATGCTAAGTCTCTTTATTTCAGGTGGTGGGTTTTCAATTTTGCCTTAATGCTTTTCTTTCTCGTATAAATATCTACGTGTACTTTATTTCGTTAACTTGCACACCTCGCCTAATCCAATTGTATTCGATTTCCATAACATTTTTGTGTTCGTGGCATTCCGTGAACTATACTGTCTGACCTCGTGCACTTAGCTAGGATTTGTTTGTAAACAACTTATTACGTATGCTATTTAATTAAGGTTTATGTCACCGTTTCCTTATGCATTAATCGAGTTTTTCTCTTTTTCTTTCTCTCTCTCTCAAGTGTTTGGCTGTTGTTTGATATCCTTGGTGTGGCTGCGCTTGATGTGCATGTTGACAAGGTGCCTACCTGTCTATTACCCACTACCTCGTCCATACTGGCTCCAGGAGACAGTTGGTCCTTGCTGGAGGGGACGGGGTGCACGGTCCTTCTGGCCGTGTTAGGCTAGAAGAGTGGTTCCATGCACGCAGTGTGGAGCGGACTACGGTCCAGCCACCGCCTTGTGTGCGCTTGATTCCCCAAATACAGTGTGCTTTTGTTTGCCTGTGAAGGAGTGTGCGCCGGCTCCGTTGATGAAAAGCGGCTCCCATCCGCATGACTCCCGATCTTATTCCTTCCGGTTAACAATGGATATGGGGTGTGTGGTTGGAGCTGTGGGTGGTGCAGCGCACGCCATTCATGGTCCCTCTGTAAGCGCAGTCGTCCTGTGGCTTGCCACAGTGACAGGCAAATCCGAAACCGGATGCCGCCAATCATATATATATATATGTATATATCTGTATTCTTATACTTACATATAAATATATATACATCCATATACACATACGTTGATAATGAACGCAGATGCTTGCAAATTTATATGCGTATATAGGTATATGTGTGTAAATACACACAAATACATTTCAGAATCAGGCATACAATGACCCCAGTTAACACGCAGTTAACATATTTATATAGCAATATGAACGCGTTCTACATGACCCTTACTTGCCTAAAACTTCGCAACGAACTCAACCTAACAACAAAGCGTTCCCACGATTACGTAGTCCCCTTCACTGCAACCAATAATTAATCCAACTCACCTCATGATTATTTCCGAGTACCCGTTCACAGACAGCGCATTACCGTAACATAATATGTGTTACCATGCATTCCTTATTAACTCTGAATATCTCTTTCCGTACTTCCTCAGCTATGCACATATTGATGCCCTTGTCATCCCAGTTACCCCTTTCGCACTGCTGACCATTTACCAATTCACATGGATTTGCAGGTTATTTTCAAGGCATCCAAAGAAAGTTTCACACCTATTATTTACGTATTTCTCATCATTAGGAATAAATTAGGTACATGTCTTGCCTTAAAATGTTGTATTTCATGTCCTACCTGAACATTGTTAGTGCAATTTGTTGTGTCGGAGCCCTACGACTGCTTCCACCCCCTAACCGTATTGAGAACGCCAACGACCAAGTAGCAAATAATGTTCACGCCGCACGCCAAACCGGCCACCAAACGTCTGTGTGTGCAACTCAATGATATGATTCAAATTAGGGCATGTACACAGGCTATGCAGAAACGCTGACAATCGATCAATCAAAGCTAGTCATTCCCGGGAGGAAGGATCGATACAACATCTCACAAACGAGGGAAATGGACAGAGTAAGGGAAAAACCATTAAGCATAAGATTCAGTGTCAACCCAAGCTAGCCACAAAGGTGAAGTAATAGAAAGGTATATGGGGAACCGTAAAAGAAGACGGGGTGAATAGAGGTGCTTGGAATAAAACTCACAAAACCAAGGGGAGTGGTGGAGTATTCTTACCTCCGCTATAACACAATTGTAATTCCGTGCAGCTTTCTCAACCTTATACCTGCTCCATTGTAAAAGCGATTGCCGTTTACAGTAGACGGTTAGTTGCAGTTACAGTATATGCAACATTTTAAAGCGTTAGTTTATCCGATCTAACGGCATATTTGTTGAACGCAATTTCCGCACATTCCCATCCGTGGATTTTCCGCCACCATCTCGGCCTTCCTTATTTCACTAACTTTACCTCAGTAAAATGTTTACACATCATTTCCCATATAATACTACTAAACGATTCCTTTTAATTTATGCTACTCTTCTATAGTACTATGAAGGCAAATTCTTCGCGCCGGAAAACGGATGTACCACTTGACACCATGAAAATTCAGATTTAACCGCATTAGTGCAATCAAACGGTCCCTAAAAACTGCACTAGCGTAAATAATCTTCACACTAGTGGTAGATAGAGCAGTGGGTGAATAAAACAATAGTTTTATTTATATTACCGTTGAAGGCGCGAGTGTTGGTAATTCTTTGAAAGAGGAACATACAGTACGTCCAAATTTGGAGGCCCCGCAGGATTGGGTGAAAAAGATGAAAATGGTAAAATGTAAGTTGCAAGTAAAATACTTTTTTCGGCCCCCAAGATGCAAAAATGCCAAATCGTCAGCAAACTAGATTCATACTTAGTGCGGGGACTACGAAGTTATAGAAAGACTTCTGCAAGTCTAACCGATATAAAGCCCGAAATTGTCGGATCTCTCAAGAGTGCTCCAGTAACCAAGAAAGAAAAGGAAGGCAGAATGATTGTGAACAGAAGCTCTAAGTTAGATATACAATAATAAACGGTCACAGCAAAGGCAATATGATGGTGAAGCAGAGATGACCATGGTTATGGTGCTGAGAGATTATCTAGCAGACCAGATGCTTTGAAGCCTTGGAGTGGATAACCTTGAAGCTGTTAAGGAGTAGAATGTAGCGCAGACCCAAGAGCCGCGGCCAGTTAACCTTTGAATGAATGAAAATGTGAAGGTATTAGGACACGGAATAAGAATAAGTCGGATGTGACTGGAAGGTGAAAGAAAAG